AAATTGTTCTCATTAAAAGCTGTCCTTATTTACACTTCCACAAGCAATGCAAGGAAGAGACTTTGCTACACCATCCCTGATCAAGCTTGTTATCAGATTTGTGGACTTTATAAATCTAATCCGTGAAAAATGGCTACCATAGTATAGTCTCAATTTGCATTTCTATTACACTGAAGGAGGTTGAACCTCTTTTATGTGATTAATAACCATTTATGTTTTCTAAGAGTTCTCTAAATATCTTTTGCTTATTTTTTCAGATGAGTTAGTCAGTTATTTTCTAATTGATGAAATTGGCTCTTTGTTGCTGACATGAGTTGCAAATATTCTGAATCTATATGGTATTTTTTTCCCATATAATTTTTTAATACCAAAATTATCTCTTTAACTTCAGGGATTTGCTCCTCACACAAGATTTTCAAGAGCCTTACTTGGTCTTCTACTTTCTCTGTTGCATTTCTATGACATGTTGCCCACACAGCGATCAGAATGATCTTTTTAGTTAGTTTGAGGGTTTGGTTTGTCAAAGGATGATGAGGCAACCATTCAATATCTTAACTAAAAAGACAAAACTGGATTTATCGTGTATTCTACTGAGAGAGAGCTACACTGGATAGGCAGTCTCTCCAGCCAGAGCAGGCTGTTGATGCTATATGAGGATTTTGGGAAGTATGGAGTTCATGGATAGGTACATTTCAGAGGCAAAAGGGTTTGACATCATCTGTAGAAGAGTAGACATTCTGGTAAGACTGTTGTTACCCTCAAGTGAATTTATTGGAGGGAATCTGTGATTGGCTGACTTTCAGAAGGGAGGGGCTTTTCAAAAGGAGTTTAATTGAGGCAGTTGTTGATTAAGTAGGTTTAAAACTGGTTCTAGCGGGGCCAGCCCGGTGGCGCACTGCTACAGTGCGCCGCTTGGGAAGCGCGGTGTCGCTCCCGCCGAGGGTTCGGATCCCACATACAGACCGGTTCCCGCTCACTGGCTGAGCAACGGGCGGACCCAGCACCGAGGGTTGCGATCCCGTTGCCGGTCCCCGTCCGGTGCGGGCTCGACACTGAGGGTTGCGGTCCGTTGCCGGACACAAAAAAAGACAAAAAAAACCTGGTTCTAGGAGTGTGGAAACCTGCTTTAATTCTCAGGGTTTTAAAAATTATTATAAAAATGTAAAACCTAGGAAAATCATAGTAGTTACCCAAAAAGTCATGTACCCAGCAACCTGAGCACCCAGAGAAG